CGCTTCCGATCTGGGAAAGAGATTCTTTGGTGGGGAGAATATTGGGTACCTAGATATTGCACTTGGATGGATTTCGTACTGGCTCCCTGTTTGGGAGGAAGTTGGATCAATGGAGATAATAGAGTCATTGAAATATCCAGCCACCACTGCATGGATCAACAATTTTCTGACCCACCCTCTCATCAAGGACACCTTTCCACCAAGAGACAACATGATTCTTTACTACAATCGCAGAAAGACACTTTTTTCAACTTTTAATGTTTAGATCTCTCTATACTTTAGTAGAATAACAATGGGACGGAACCATACTATCTAAGTGTGTAATTCTTATTTTTATTTACATATGGTATTTTGGGTTCCATCTGCTACTACCAACCATTTCTCTAATTATAAAGAATAAATCTATTCCTCTCTGTTTATACCAAATTGGAGATGCAACTATTTGTTGCTTCCAATTCATTCACTTCTAACTCAGACTAACGCGGAACCAAATAGGGCCCAAGTGTAGTGACCGAACAGTTGCATGGATTATAAATTTTATTTATTTATACGTGTAATTGAAGTTAATTCCCCTTTTGGTCATCGTTTCATAAACCCTAACTTTTAGTTTTTATATTTTATATTCAAAACGTTCTATTTTAGTATTTATATATACCATTTTTAGTCTTTTTAAGTCTCTGTTGTCTATTTTTATTGAGATTAAAATGTAAAATGTATATAACTATAAAAACTATAAGAAAATAAAAAATTTATGCATAAAGAATAAAATGAAACGTAATTAAATCATTCATATAATTATAAAATGCAAATACCTTATAAAATTTAAAGCACTACAAACCATTTCTGTAACTATAAAAATTAAAATATTTTATAAATGTCATATAATATAATTTTTTTTTTTTGGGTCACAATCATTATTTTAAGAGTCAATATTTTAAGATCGATGGTATGTCTCATGTAAAAATCGCTAAAGATCACAATTTACTACAACCAATTACTGTGATTAACAGCCTACCCAAGAATTTCTTCATCAAGGGTCAAAATACTAAGTCCAATTAGCATAATTTACTATTATATACATATAGAAGTAGCAATCAAGTAACGGAATTTCGACTGAAAAAATTTATAGTCACCCCGTTAAAAGAAGAAATTGTATAATTTTACAGCGTAATCATACCTAAGCCAGGGATCAGGGATCATTCGTATTATAACCAAAATCAGCTATCTTAGAATACAAACTATACAATAATATGCAATGGAGAAGTGAATATACAAAATATCATCACATAACATTTGCACTTTAACCTGCTCTTGAATTGCCACGAGACGGTTATATTCATCAGAAGTTCAAACCCGTTTACCCTTGTACCTAAAAAAAACTCACTTACCCCCATTCATGAACAGGGAGAGGAGTTAGCCTTGTTTATCTCAAAACTAACATCATCCAAACCACGCTCTGTAAAATTTAGCAGTGACTGGTCACAAAGGTCCATATTCCAAAACAACTCAATAATTCAAGCAGGCAACTTCAGTTTCGAATTGTTCTTCCAGCTGCAAAACAAAACTCATTATATTACCTATTTGTTATGACGAACATAGAACAAACAAAACCAAACTTAACAGATAATAACATTACCTGATGAAGTAATAGTAGAAGAAATCTGCATACAAAGCTGTCTGAACAACACCTGAGACGCAAGCTGTAAAACAAGAAGGAAATCAACATATTGCAAACATTGACATACAATTTCAAAACTAGTTCTTATTTTCAGCCTTCATTACCTATCCATCGAGTAAAATGAGGCTCAGTCAGATAGCGGTATATCCAGTTCAGGATGTAAAATGCACGATATGCACTGCAGTTTAAAAATAATCAGTACATTTTTTATCATAAAAATCAGTACATTATGAGACATGTTCAAATTGAAAAAATGGTACAACTTAATGGCTAATTGCTCAACTAATTGGGCAAACATCAAGACAGGAGACAAATTAGGAAATACAAAATAAGCACGAAAGTGCTAATTTGGCCAAATAAACAGGATTTGCAAATCAGGTACGATAAAAAAAGTTATGACAAACATATAGAGGAGTCTAATTTCTTAGCTAGTTCAAGATGACAAATATCCGTGTATCATTGTCACTGGTAGACATCTCAATACCTCACATAGTTATGACAAACATATTTAAGTATTTGCTATTTGCTAATGACCAGTATAAAGGAGAACATTCATGCGTAAGCAACCAAAAAGTAAAGGCAGATTTTAAAAAGTGTACTAAGTCAACCAAAGTGTGCTTACCCAAGAAAGAATACATATTGCCCAGTCAAATTGTCCACATTTCCACTTCTTTGCAACAAAACCAATTGGGGCAATATTGCAACTGCCTCCAAGTATATTGAAAATGCCCAGAAAATCTGCAACAGATTTACATAAAGTCAACATATTCGTGATGTTACAATAAGTAACAGAATTATTATTAAGCTAACATGTAATGCACAGAACAATTACAAATAGGCAATCAATAAGGACAAGCGTTTGGACAGGAAGAACAATTGAAACCATGTGATGGATTTGCTTTATCTTGCAATATTAACCAGAAAAAAAGGGAAAGACCAGTTACACATGCAGCAGATTGCATAAGGCAATAGATATCCCCAAATGTTTTATCACACACTAAGCAGAGGCCTACCTTCTCATCATGTATCAAAGCCATCACATGTCACGTATACGTTTTTTTAAACTATCAATAATGTATCTTTTTCTCCAAGAGTTAGCTTAAATATTGCATGAAACTTGGCCATCATTTCAAGCATGATACCAAGTGGATCTGTAACATAATTCAACCTAAAATCTGAATAGCACTCAGGAACCCAAATACCCAATTACATTATTTGGCCAACTAGGAAGAGAAGCAACCAAACAATAGATCTAGCACTAGGTGGGTTTATAGATAATGTAACAATTAATTGTTAACAAACAGGATTATCAGTCCATAATATAATTTACCTTAGCTTCTTATCTCAATAAAAAAATGTAAGTTTTTGTTCCAATAATGTATGACAAAGTACTGAACTGATGTTGGTAAATTCAACTACTGAAATTGATATTAGAAAGCAGCATAAAAGATCCACATTCCAGTTTCTAGGATCAAAAGACAACAGGCTCTCAAAATTTGAGGCTTAAAAAATTGGAGTTATGAGGTGACTTATAGAGGCTCTGTATGATACACAAGTCAAATGGAAACAGGAGATAAACTAGATAAGGAAGAACAACATTGGTTAACAGTGATAAAATAAGAATAAGTTCACACGGCTAATATTGTTCATTACTTTAAGAGCTATATCATATCACGTGGACCAAGTACCATATAAATCTTAATCAAAAGTTACCTATTCATTGACTTTGTCTATCAGTGATAAAAACAGTATGTAATTAAAATTAAACTAAATTGTAACCACCAATCATTCTCATGGAGATTCCTTGAGAACTTTGATTTTAAAGTTTTCTTTTCCTATAGCTTCTGTTATGAGTAAGAGCAGCATTCAAACATTCCAGCCAGAAAATATAAATGGATACACTACTGTCCAGAGAAGTTTGGCAAAACCTTCAGATTCAATATGTTAGACAGAAAATTAAAAACTCTGATGAAATATTGAAACCTTAAGTTGAATATGAGCTAGTAAAGCTTTAGTAAGCACAAATAGACAAAATATTCAAGAATCTAATCTATAGGTATTGTAGATGATTATGCAAATAAAAGAAGGAAAGGAATAAAATCAAATCCTAAACTGAATCTCAATGTTTACAGAAATTTGAGATATTCTATATATGCCATGTATAGAAATGGTTTCAAAGGATCCAATCAAAGTACCATTTTAATTTAATGGTAAGCAATGGAACATGATAGCTGTAATCTGCCACTTGCCATACTCAAGTTGGGCCCTAAGGTAATAATTCCTCACTCACAAAGAATATAGCATCCAATGAACCATCACCCTAAACCATTTTTACAGAGCAAAGTTACATTAAAATCAAAGGCACCATATCACATTCTACTATTTCAAATGAAAAATAACCATTTCAATCAAGTGAAGGAAATTTGTAACATAACTTGACAGTGCTTGGTTTGTTTTCTGTTTCCCTTAAGTTTTTTTTTTTTTTATCCACAGAAATTACAGTGAAGGTGCCACGATTCAAACCTAGGACCTTGCGCATACAAACCCAACCTCCCACCATCAGGTTTTTGTTTTCCTTTCAAGTTAATATGATCTCATCAATAATTACAAAAACGCCACCTCATTTTGTTTTCACCATTTCCTTCACAAAATCCTCAAAATAGGAAACAGACTGAGAACAAAGTGGCATTTTTTTGTACTAGTGAAATCATGCATGCTGAAAATGAAAAACAAAAAACAAAACACGCACCACCTTAAAAGATGAGGATCCATGGGTACATATTAAAGAATCATTTCTAACGACCAAAGCCAAGGTGTCATGTAAGACTTCAAAGCAATAAAAAAGGGTGGAAATTTTCGGATTATAATCACAGCTACAGTGCCCAAAACAAAACAAGGTTGAACCTTCATTCATAACCAATAGTTTCCTGCTTATCTAAGCTTGTCTCTGAGACCAGGCAAATCAATCACCCAGTCAGCGCATACAACACATCTTCCAATGCTTTCTTTTAAAGAAGTAAACATTTGGAGAAATTCACAAGGAATAAAAACCAGAAATATATTACAAAAGAAAAACAAGAAAGTCCAATTTCAGTAGAGGGGAAGGTAACAGGGCAAAAATAACACATTCACAATGCAAAACAAATAACATTCAAAATATAAATTACTAATCTTAAGAATGTGAGTTTGAGTCTAACGCATGGTTTTGTAAGGAGGAGACACGTATACTGTTATACAGTCTAATGTAGCCATATTCGTATCGATGAGGTGCAAAAGGGGGAGTTAGAAAGCAAGGAACCTCTTGAACGGTGAACTTTTCATGCAAGACGAGTCCCAAAGCAAAGGTGGCCCCAATTAGAAAATAATGGCGAAAAGTGTCGAGTTCCCTATCGTAACTTCTCCGGACGAGGGGGTGAAAACGCATGCACCAAACAATGGCTAAGGAGCTGGCAATGAAGACGAGCTTCATGATGGTGTTGTAAACGGAGATGAAGTCGGTGAACAGATCCAAATAGCGTGCGACGAAGACCAACGCGTAGAGCTCTTGAGTCTTGCGAGAAATCCCTGAAAGGGCAAGAAAAAGTAAGAGTTGCAATAAATGGGTTAAGTAAGTGATTATTGGTGAGAATGAAAAATTGGGGGAAGCAGAAGAAGAGTGACCTGAGCATGATTTGGTGGCGTAGATTTTGAGGAGGAGAACGAGAATGCTGAGAAGGTGGGTCATGTCACCGGCGAGCCTGAAGACGTTCATGGTTTTGCCCTAGAAAGAGACAAGATTCGAAAGCAGAGAGAGGGAAAGGCAACGGAGAAACAATCGCAATTCGCAAATCCTCTCTTCTCTCCAATTTCTTTTCTTTCTTTCACTTTTTTTTATTTTTGCTTTTCCTACCTTAGCTGGCACTCGCCTCCCTCTTCACCGCTTCTCCTATTTTTTTCTTTCTTTTAAACTAATGATGAAAGATTCTGAAATAAAATAAAGACAAATACATTAAATTTATATTTGAGTCTTTAAATTTTAACTAATTATTTTATTAAATAATTGTCACATTGACAATTATTTCTTTTCTAATTGGTTGTTATTTCTTTTAAGCATCTAAGATGGGTTGTAATGCAAATTTTTTTTACTTTTCTAATCAATAATAAACATCTTGTCATGTTTAAATATTTTGATTACGGGTATTATAGTTAAAATAAAAGTATTCATGTTCGATTGATGCATTATAACTTAAGATCTTTTAGAATGATTACTTATTTTGTTAAACTTTAAATTCAATAATTTATGTGTACAATCTTAAACCTGTTAAGTTGAAAATATTAAAACATGACAAAGTTTCGTCGTCGGTTGAAAAGTAATAAAAATTTGCATTATTTATAATTGGTGGTTAAGAGAGAATATATGTCAAAGTGAAGATTAAGTTGACTAGTCATGAGATTAATAAAATTAGTGATTGAATATAACAAAAAGACTAACTTAAATAATGGAGTTAAAATTTAGAAACTCAGATACTACAAAAATCTTTTAAGAATCCATCGACCATCTCTATTATTTTTTAGGAATTAAATTAAATATTTACTCATCAAAATTTGATTATTTAATTTTAAAAAATAAAATATAATCATAATAGAGAGAAATAAAAAATAAAATTTAATTATTAGTTTTTTAATAATCATAGGACAATAATACAAATTCTGCATTACCAATGTTTAATCAAATGTACAATTTTTTAATCAATTAATTAAATAATTGTGAGGGTTTAAAAAAATCGATATGTGCAAAGAAAGATATTAAAAAAGATTGTGGTATTTTCTAACAACTACAAAATGCGAGGACCATTTTCTACTACTTCATGCACAAAAATAAAAAGATAGCGAGATCCTTCACTTTTTTATTTCTTATCCTTTTATCTCTACAACATTGAAACGTCTGATCGACAAAATCATTCATTCATTGTGTTTGAAACAATGAATCCATGTGAGGGTGGATGACCCTCAAAGAGCTAGATTCAGAATATTCTTTCAAACACAAAAGTGTGACTATGATGAATTTCAAGCGATATACATGCTTTGTTCACATTTCATAGTTGCATATGCACATGTTCACTTAAACCATATGTCATTCATTTCTCCAATTTACAAATTACAACATGTTTTCAATGTGTATAGTACTTCGTTTGGATTATTGTCTGACGAAAATGAGTGGCCAGAATATAATGGAGATGAATGGTATCATGATACAAAAATGCGAATAAATCTCAAAGGTCGTCCAAAATCTACTCACATACATGATAAGTGTCTAATTAGTTTGATTTAATACTCATTTGAGACACTTATCTAGCACATTTTGTGTACATATTGATATTATTTTGATCTATATATGCTTAGAATCAAAGAGGTGCTTTTGATTAATGTTAGTATAGAGAATAGGAAGCCTTTGATCCAAATTGGTGCTTATTTTGTAGGTTTTGAAACCTGGAGAAGAATGGCTCAGCCATTCTGAAGCGCTCAGCGGATTCAAGTCAGAGAACTTCCCAAACTGAAGGCGCTCAGCCATTCTGAAGCGCCCAGCGGATTGGCCCCTGGAGGAGAAGGAATGCTCTCTGCCTCCAATCCGCTCAGCCATTCCCATCCGCTCAGCGGATTTCATCCAGGAACAAGGGATGCTCTCTGCCTCTAAAGCGCTCAACGGATCTAAGGCGCTCAGCCATTGAGGTTTCTTCATGGTGAAGAACTCCCAATCCGCTCAGCCGTTTCAAGGCGCTGAGCGGATTCATCTCTCTCTTGCTTACTCTGTTTTCATATATAAGAAAAGAAAGAGAGAGAAAAGGGGAGGATGCTGTACGAAAAGAGAAAAAATAGAGAGAGGAGAAAAATAGAGTACTCTGGAGCTCGTGGGAACGCGAATCTTCTTGAGTTAGACTCTTAATTCACTATAATAAATTAGTATCAAATTACCACTATTTTTCACCTTATAAATCTCACATCTCTTAAGAGATAAGACAATTAAAAAAATAAATTAAAAAATATATAAATAGAAGACAACCTTCATCTTACACATCTCACATCGACTAGAGATAAAAAAAAAAGAGTATATAAGTTATGAATTTAGAAAGTCACTAAATGGATGGAAAGGAGACAATTGAAAAAATAACTTTTAATAGCCTTTAAAATGGCTACTAAAATTGCCACTAAAAAAAATAAGTTTTCCCGACAATTTAGTAGGTCTTTACCAACATTTTATATAAATGCTGGTAATAGTATTAGCGACACTAGATACACCAGCCATTATTTAAATGCTGGTAAAAAAAATAATGACCATTTATATGGTCACTAAAAAATAAATTAATTGCCACAAAAATTTAATTTTGGTGTAGCGTGAGAAAATGATTTGCAATTTTAATGCTTCCAAACAACTCCAATCCAGCTGAAGCTTCTTATATTTACCTACTAAGCTGGAAATTAATACAACTAAATAAATTGTCAAATCTAGCGATGCACAATTTTACAACTAATGACATCACAAGCTGACTTTTCTGAATAAACATGTGACTTGTGTTTCTTTCAAATCTGTCTATCTTCATTTTTCAACAGCTGTAATTGGATCAACAAACTGCAGAAAATTTTCCATATCTCTTCCCAAAAGAAGAAGGTCCTCCTCCAATTAAAACTCCAACCTATTTATCATCCATCCATTTCTATAAATTTGAAGAAAACAAAATCTTTATCAATGGAAAACAACAGCGAACCATACATTTTTCCCGTTGCTGTTATTTGTAAGTTATAGGGTTCAGGATCACCCTTTTTAATAATTTAAGATAGGTGATTCTAATACACTCCTTTTCGAAAAACTGTTTTATTAATTATATAAATTTATATATAAAATAATTTATAATTACAAAATTTAATAATATTAATAATTTTTATGTTAATAATTATAAAAACTGTTTTTTGATTAATATTATAAATTATAAATTTTATAA